CCTCTTCGCTTTAGCTGTGATGCTGAGAAAGTAGCGTTCAAATGTGCCACTCATTAGAGGCAGGTCTCTGATGACACTAGGGTCTCTATTCAGGTTTCCCAGCTGTGACCCATCCCAACATTCTGCTTTGCTTTCCCTACATGTTCCCTGTCATTTAATCAGATGAATGAATAATATTAAATTTTCACTCATTTTCCAAAATCATAGAGCTCTCATAAGATAGTAATGCTAGTTAGTTCACTGCTGGAGGATGGCTTGGTCAGTAAGGTGCTTGCTCCACTGGCATTGGGCCCCGAGTTCAGATGCCAGGACCCATGCAAGAAGCTGGTGCTGCAGTGTGCACCTGCAGTCCTGCTGCTGGGGAGCTGGAGATCGGAAGGTCTCTAGAGAATGCAAGGCAAGCCAAACTGGTGAGCTCTGGGCTGAATGAGAGATCCTGCCAGCAACAAAATAATAATAATAGTAATAATAATAATGTAGAGAGTAATTAGCAAAGACATCAAAAGTTTACATCTGGTCTCCACATGTGCACACACCACACACACATACACACATACACATACACTATACACACACACACACACCACACACACCACACATACACATATAACATACACACACACAACATACACACACACCACACTCACATACCACATATACACACAAACCACACACACACACCACACACACCATACACGCACATACACACCACATATACACACAAACCACACAAATACACACACCACATACACACACAAACCACACACACACACCACACACACATCACACCACATACACACACAACATACACACAGACACCACATACACACACACCACATACACACACAACATACACACACACCACACACAAATACCACATACACACACACACACACACACCACATCCACACACACACACAGACACAGCATACACACACACAAACCACACATACACACACACACACACACACACACACACACACAGAGTCATTTCCTCAGAGTCTCCTCTAAGAGGAGATATTCCAAGCATCGAAGATGCAGATTTCTCACATTAAAGTCAGTTGGCAGTTCTTTTATTCCAGAAGATGCCCCAGTGTGATGCAAGCCAATAGCCCCAAATAAAGGATTCAAACTAGTTAGGTCTCGGGGAACAGGCTAAGCCAAATATGGCTATCCACTTCCTATGTCATATAATCTTCACAAGAATTTTGGGAACTAGTTCTGACATCTAGCAGTGCTGTGTGACCTGTCTAAGGATAGATAACTGCTTAATATGTCTACTCTAAACTGAATGCATTGTCTGCTTCCCCACAGCTTCTGCAGACACTGTGTGAGCAATGTTGAACACTGGAACCATTTTAACATTTGACTTATTCCTTGCATCACACTTTAAAATACTTCTTATATTTGAGAGTAAAATATATATATTTATATATATATATGTGTGTGTGTGTGTGTGTGTGTGTGTTTAAGGCATACATCTAAATATAAAATTAAAAGACAAAAGAAAGATAAGAGATTAGTATTGTTCAGGGTGCACACAAAATTAAAATAAAAATGGCCCAATAGAAGAATATGCAAGGGGTATAAGCCTGCCAGTTAAAAAGGATTAAAAATAAAATGCCAATAAAGATAGACAAACACTGAGTCCTAGTAATTAAAGAAAATGAAAACTAACATTCAGATGACATTTCTAGCCAGTCATGTGACTTGCTTTTTCTCATTTCTGTTGTGAATGGTGTATGGCCTGAAATACTAACATCAGAAATGGCAGCAGTCAGAAACTGCATGTTCTAATGACATCACTGATCAAATCCATTGTCTGTCCTGGGGTGTGTGTGGGTCTGTGTGCAGTGATCTCTGTAAGAAGCGGCATTGCCTCTGCACAGCCCATGCTGCAGCATTGCTTAGTCTCATAACAACCCTGCCAGGGAGAGTTCATGCACGGTCAGCACTTCAGAGAAATCTGATGCAAGTTGAATTCTGAGAGTTAAAAATAAACATCATGAATCAGAGAGGACATAGAAAAAGTGGCCTGGAAATTCACACTTGCTCCTGGGCCAATTAGACCAGGTGTGTCCACCCAGGTGAAATAATAGACAAACCTTGTGTGTTAGGGGAGCACAGAATGCTGTTGTGTGCTATTTTAATCGCATTCTGACAATAAAGTCTGCTTTGAGTCAGAGGGTGGAGTTAGTCACTAGCTAACAAAAATTAACCATAGAGGTTTCGGAGGACTGAGGAAAGATAAGAGACAGGAAATAGAAAGGTGGGGCTGAGAGAGGATCTCAGCTTTTTTGGATGGAGGAATGTAAAATATAGGAGGTGGGTTCTCTGCCATTTCTCTAATCATTCAGGTTCTTACCTCGATCCTGGCTCCCAATTTTTTACTGATAAAGAATAATTAGATGAACTCATCAGAACACAAGGACCACATCCATTCAACTCTCTTGCCATGCTTCCTCTCCCATTAGCTGGTGGATTCTAAAAACTCCCTTTGGCTGAGGAAGTGGAACAAAGGTCAGGAAGGACCTTCTGGGACCAGAAGCATCTTTTCTGGGGATAGCTGTCTGAAGATATTCGGACTGAGCCAGTCAGTGCTAGGCTTCTCAAACTGTCCTGTTCTTATGCTTATGTTCAGACACAGAGTCTGAACTGCTTTCTATGCATGTATACTAACAAAAAGATGACCATCTCAATGGACATCAACAGTTTTGTCCCCATGAAACTCCCCGCCCCAGACCTTCAGTTCTGTAGCCCTGTCAGTTCTCATCACTCACAATACTGATTGACCTACAATATATTAAACATTGTTTCAAGAGGAATTAGATTCCTGCAAGTTTTTGTTTTAGTTAATTGGCCAATAAACACCTTTGTTTTAAAGTGTATCTCAGTTTAAGGGCATCCGATTTAATCAATGTTGTTGATGTATTACCATTGAACTGTAATGTCTGAAGGAAAGTTATTTCTACACAAATCACACCCCAGCCTTGTTGTACTTAGGAACACTAGACCACATTTCGGTATGGGGAGCATTTCAAATAGTGAAATCATTAATAAAGAAATAAAAAAAAATGAAACCAGATAGCACTAAATACACTACTAAAAGGTCATTTGTTTGTTTATGCTGTGAGTGCTGGGCCTCGAGGAGAAGCAGAGTCTTGCCTTGCTTGACCTCAGTTTACCTAAGGAAATTGACTTCTTTTCTGTCCCTGTTTATGTCTATGAATAAGAAAATGATACAAACACTGAGTTAATCAGCTACCTAGGAGGCCGAAGCAGGAGGATCATATGCTCAAAATATGCATGAGCTCACTTGGGGACTTCAAACCCAACCTGGGTTACTAGTAAGACCCTATCTCTAACCAAGTAACACACACATACACACACACACACACACACACAGAGAGAGAGAGAGAGAGAGAGAGAGAGAGACAGAGACAGAGACAGAGACAGAGAGACAGAGAGACTGGGTGATTTGGATCCAACTTAGCAAGTGGGTGAATTAGATGACTTTAAAAAATACAGAATCTAAAAATAATGAAGATCAAGGTCTACCTCAGGAAGTAGGTGTGGCTAACAGAAACCTGACTCTGGTAGATGCAACTGCTCTTGGGCTGCTGACAGACCAACAGATCTGTAGACCTAAGGCCAGGGAACTACGTGTGATCTACAGAGGTCACTCTGCTGCCTAAGGCAGTGTGCCACACTCTCACTGGGGTTCCTCCTTTCTATCTCTTTTCTTCTACACCAACAGTTGGCAAACCTTAGCCTACATCTGGAAGGCTTGATACCACACAGATTGCTAATCCTACACTTAGCATTTCTGGAGAAGACCCGAAATACTGCCCTAGATATTTCATTTCTACCAGCGATCCTGTAGCACCCAAGGTCCAAAGAGTAAACTTGGGCCTACATTATTGGCTCCTTTTTTTAAAGATACAGACCAAAGCTCAAAAGGATTGAGTAATTTTCCCAGAGTTTCCTGCATAGCTAGTAACTGGCTTCCAAACATGAACATGAGTGAATCTTCAATCAGCGCCTGTCATTTTCTTTGATGCAGGTGTCATACTACCATGACATTTCAACCACAGGTTCAGTTCCAGGCTGGTCTGCTCTCATGTGTTGTATCACTGTGTGCTTGGAAACATTGTTTCCTAGGTTTATGTCAACTAGACCCAATCTAGAGTCATGTCAGAAGAGGAACTCTCCAGGTGAGAAAAACCCTCTACCAGATTGACCTGTGAGCAAGCAAGCCCTGTGGTTCATTGTCATGCTTGGTGATTGGCCCTGCTCTCTGTATGGGTTGCTGTCCCTGGGCTGATGCTCCTGGGTGCTTTGAGAAGCAGTCTGAGCAAATGGTGAGGATCAAGCTAGTAAGAGGCACTCTTCTACTGCCTCTGCATCAGTTCCTGCCTCAGGCTCCTGCCTTGAGTTTCTGCCCTGACTTCCCTAGGTGATAGACTGCAAGCTGTAAGAGGAAATAAACTCTTTCCTTCCCAAGTTGTTTTGGATCGCAGCAACATAAATCCTAAGACAAAAACCAAGGGCTTTGCTGTGAGCTCTGGGCCCATGGCAGACAGGGTTGAGAGCAGAGGAAAAAGGAGGCAGGATCTTCTCTCCAATTCTTAGGGATGACTCATGCTTGATAACAAGTCAAGATAGCTGAACACAAAGTCACACAAAGTGGCTGTCACCAAGTAAACTTAACTTATCAGGTATACTTTGGTTTGTAGGCCATAGAAAGTAGTGATTACACACCATGGAATGAGGGTCTGATGATGGGATCCTCTGCAGTCCCCATTTGAGCTGTGTACAATACACAGTAGGCTTCAGATGGGTATTAGCCAATAAAGGCAACATGGGGAAGACAGCAAACTTAAGATTTACTGGGCTCTTTAGAAAAATCAATCATCATTTAAGGAAATGTTCCCAGGATATCAGATCTAATAACTGCACTGGATCACATTTAAGAATATTTTTCCATATTCCTTTTGTAGTAGTATACCCTATTTCTGTTTACCTACGTTTGGATTCAAGCACATTTTGCCACTGACTGATGATGCTGAGAGATTCAATGAAATTGTGAGAAAACAGAAGATTTCTGCTAATATTGACACACCTGAAGGTGGATTTGATGCGATTATGCAAGCTGCTGTATGTAAGGTATGGTGTGCGGGGGTGGGGGGGTGGTGGTGGGGGTGGGGTGGGGGGGTGGGGGTGGATTTGGGTCATTACTCCATCCTATTAACATAAATTTCATCTCTTATTAGCAAATCGGCTTCAGGAAACTTATCTAATTGCTTTTCCTTTGATTACCATATTTCTACATTGATCCTTTTCTTAAAATATAAAACTTCCACTAAATATTTACCTTAGTCATGTTGAAGTGGAAGAATGTTTTATATGTCTGAATTGGAGTAATCAAAGTGTCCCAGTATAAAGAAATCTTGATTCAAAGATCAGATTAGTTGTTTTTAATTAACTATAGTAGAAAAAAATTAAAGGCAGAACATTAATAAACATTAAAATGTCTGAGTCAGTATATAGCAAACTTAATTACATAACTATTTATTTCACCTTTTCATGATGTGGGGCCTTCTAAATGCTAGGCAAGCACTATACTAACTCTACTAATGAGCTGCACCTCCAACCCCTGGCTTTGAGAGACAGAGTTTCATTACATAGCTCAAGATAAAAATCTGTTGTTTTGAACTAATAAAGTCAAGATCAGAAGTCACATTGACTCTGTCAGGACCCAGATCCCTCTTGACTACTTGAGGAGTCCTAAGGAGAATGATAGGCCTGTCTAGACATTAGTCCATCATGGGCAATACAAGGAAATGTCCAGGCAGAAGCTTCTAGAAGGCAAAAGGGTCAGGAATTAAAGGAGGAAGGAAGGGTAAGGTGGTTTAGGACAGCCAGGAGAGTTTTTACCCAAGGCTTCCTAGACTAATATTAGTTTTGGGAGATCGCTGCTAGACACAAATTGCAGACAATCTCTACTAGTAGGACCCTGGGGCCATCTTCAATCAGCAGTTCTTATGTTAGGTGTATAATTCTCAGGTGACATTGTTAGAAATACATACCAAAATGTTGGGTGACATTTTAATGAAACGGGCTTACTTAATAACCAATTTAAGTTGCATTTAGCTTGAATTTAAAATGACTGTGACCTTCCCACTACCTCCTCACATCTTTTTTTTTTTCCTCCCGGTGAATTGAGAGCAGATAATAAAGATCAATAACTGGAAGACAAGATGACCCCAACACTATTTGTAGTGGAACCATTTTTTTTGTAATGGGAAAAAATCTGAACATTTTCTAAGAGAAGAAAGCAAATGCTACAGGATTTCATGTCTTTAATAAGCTACAAGTTCTCTATAGATAGAAAGGTTAGAATGGGCTATCCACACATTGCTCTGAATCCGAATGTGAGAAGCCACACAAGCCTCAATTCGGGCCTGCCTACCCATCTCCATACAACCTATTCTTCCTTTTCACTCTAGGAGAAGATTGGCTGGCGCAATGACTCGCTCCATCTCCTGGTTTTCGTGAGTGATGCCGATTCTCATTTTGGAATGGACAGCAAGCTGGCAGGCATTGTCATTCCCAATGATGGGCTCTGTCACTTGGACAACAGGAATGAATACTCCATGTCAACCGTCTTGGTATGTAAACTTCACTCTCTTCAGCTTTCAGAGCCACATGTTGACCCACATGATGACAACTGCTATGAAGCCATATGAAATGACTCACTCAATGAAAGCAGTGTATATTTTCTACTTTAGGAGCTAGAAATTATTCTCATCTACCTCAATTGCACTGTGGGTTCCACAGAGAGCTCAAGTGACCTCCACTAGGTAGTTGGTGGGCATGTGTTGAGAGTTTAAACCTGTTACGTCACAGGTGAGCCCAGAACCTCACCAGTTTCATAGAGATCCTGAGGCCAGCAAAAAGCAACACAGATAGCTCTCTATTCTCAGCAACAGTGGTCCGTATCAGAACAGTACAACCAAAGGCTTTCTGAGCATTGCTATCCCTCAGTTGTATTACGACCATGGTGCTCTGTTTGGAACAGCTAATCAAATACTGTTTGGTTGGTGCTTATTAACGCTTAGCTGAGTTTTTTGTTGCTGAAAAATGCTGGTAACATTGAAAATTAAAGAAAAACTCGACTGTTGTCAAACTAGGTAGAAATTTCAGATATCTTTGCCCCATGTAGTCTCTCATCTGATCTTCAGTAGGACCCTAAATGCTGTTGCCATCAACAGACCATGTGGCTACCAGACTTGAAAATGTTATGCCTTGTACTCAAGAATCTAAATTCTCTTTTGAGGCCCAGAGAGCCCTCTTTGACCTCCACTATGTCCCAAAGCAGTCATTTCTCATTTCACCTTTATTCATGGATGCCTTCATGCACATCTCTATATGGTAATGTGTTCGGTTATTCTGTGCTTTCCTCAGAGCCCGGGCTAGTTTGTTATCTTTGTTTCCTAACAGCTCAGTGCCTACATCACAGTGTATAAGATGGAAGAAAGAACCATCAACCTGGGAAAGTCCTATTTTGCATATTTAACATAGTAGGAAGCATGGCTCAAAAAGTTAAGTTAAAGGACCCTTCAAATGATGATTTATAGAAGGATGCATAGGAAGGAGAAGGGAAAGCCCAGAATTCCAATGTCAATTGGAAAAAAAAAAACAAACAAACAAAAGAAAAAAAAATGAAAGGAAGAGAGAAAGAAAGAAGGTATTAAAATCTATTCTATACAAGCTCTACTAGTTCACAAATTTAGGCCATTCTTTGACCTGATTCTGAACTTCAATCTAGATTTCCCCATCTTTGAACTGTTTTATTCCCCCATACAAACATGGTCTCTAATCTCAATCTTTTTCTGTGAGAATCACAGTGATTATCACCAAAGTTTGTCTTTTAGTCAATGAGGTTCCAGGAAATGGGTCCTTTTGTCATTAATTTATCAAGCACCCCATAATAGGATTCTTGAAAAGCAAAAGATTGTAGAACCAAACAATGCCCACTACCTGACATGAACTTCTGATTTAATAAATGTTTAATTGATTATTCTGAATAAATTTCTGCAAAGCATAGAACCACAGGCCATTCCAGTCCCCCTGAGTCCTTTGAGTATTTTTGTATGCTAAAAGCAAAGCTAGATTCCCAGGACCACCATGTAGGACCTGTTTCTGGCCTTGAGTTTTCTACTGAAACACAAAACAGCAGCCCATGTGGACTGTGTGGTAGGACCCTGGTTCTGCATGAAGCAGTAGACAGATGTGCACTGGTGGAGGGAAGAGGACCCAGTGTGGCAGGGCTCTAGAGCAAGGGGCACTTAAAGTTTGGGCAACTGAAAAGCAAATAACACTAAATGTGTCAGAGCAAGGAAAAGGTCTATTGTCTGGGATTTCTACTAATAAAAATCCAAATGTGGAGCTGGAGGGATGGCTCACTGGTTAAGAGCACTGGCTGCTCTTCCAGAGGACCCAGGTTCAATTCCCAGCACCTATATGACAGTTCACAGCTGTCTGTAACTCCTATCCCAGGGGATCTGACACCCTCACACAGACATAAAAATTAATAAACAAGTAAATAAAAGAAATGAAAAGTATAAAAAATAAAAAGTAAGCTGTGACAAAAAAAAAAAAAAACCAGAAAAAGATAAAAGAAAAGGTATTCACGGCTTGGGTCACAGTTGGGAATTTCCTCTGGATAATTTAGAAAAAGGAACACCCTTTGCCCAACTTGAACCTTGCACCTAATGATGGTCCCAGACAGAAATATCCTGGCAGCTATGAGAATGTAACAATGCACCACCTTGGGGAACAGAAAGCTTCTCCCCCGCCCCTTTGACAGACTGCAGCCTTAATCCGTATTCCTTGTTTAATTGGCCACAGCTTGTTCCTTCCTCTACGTGTCCTCTTTGTGTGTTTTTGAAATCACAGTGGAGGCAAATGTGCTTCCTATCTCCTAGACTTGGAAAGTAAATTCACCTGTAAATTTGATAATGGATGACTTTTTAAAATTTTTTCACATCACTTAACAATGAACGTTTTCCATACCACAAGGGCAAACTATTTCCATTCATACTTAAAAAAAAAAAAAAAAAAAAAAAAAAAAGTTTAGGATCCCATTCCACCAATTTATGACACTGCAAAGGCAATAAAACCAATGCTGAGAAATGGCGTGGGCCCGTCTCAAATCAGACAGTCACAGGAATTATAGTGTGTTATTTATTCATCAGCACTCCATCCCTTCCTTAACCTTCATGCCACCTCATCCAGTTCCAGGAAGAGTTACAAGAGCCACCTCACAGTTTGTCTCATACATCACAGTCTACCGGCCCTGCCTCCTGGTCTAACATTCCTACCTGCTGCTGAGTGGCACCTGGGGGAGACAATATGACATATTAGAAGTCTTGGACTAAATTCCAGGGGGTCTGCTTAGGAGAGAGAGAGGGCATGTATAGCATACTGCCCGTCTCCATTCTTAAGGCTAACCTGAACTTCTAAGACTTGGGACAATTCCTGAGCTAAGTGAATAACACCAACCATGACTGTTTCCTTAGAATGACCCACAAAATGCCTGTAAACATTGGCTTTTTCAACTGTGAAAGGAATGTTTTAAAATTTTACCTCCTATGATTAAGGTGATATTAAGTCTATGTGTCAATTTTAGGAATATCCAACAATTGGTCAACTCATTGATAAACTGGTACAAAACAATGTGCTGCTGATCTTTGCTGTGACCCAAGAACAAGTCCACTTGTATGAGGTAAGGATTGGAGAAACCCCTCCAAGGATATTTATGCATCATGAAACTCTAAGGTTAACTTTGTGACTCACACTTGGAAGGGCTGTTGGATAATCATTAACACATACCAAGTAAACTGAGTGGCCAAGCTCGCTCCTTCGCAGCTTAGATTTTAGATAACAAGCAGGAAGGACCAGCAGAAAGCAGGGGGCAGACATGGTAGAACGATTAAGAAAAGAAAAGAGAGTTGGAAATTAACAAAAGCAGGTGAGAAGAGAGGACTGATGAATGTAGGTGGGTCACTTACTGGCACTAAAATAAGCATTTCCTCTGACAAGCAGTTAAGAGAGAACAGGGACATTAATAGTGTGAGGGCACTGGCTAAATAATTGCAAACACAGAAAGACTCAAGCAGAGATGCAACTCAAGCTTTTGAGAAGCAGAAAGTGAAAAGAAAAATAGTTCTTAATTTGGGCCAAAAAATAATCCTTCCACCCCCAGTTGTAGTTTGTTTGCAGTTCATGTGTTTGGAAGGAGGCACCAGTGTGGAAAGGGGAAATCTTTCATTAGATTGCTCACGATGCTTTGCAAACCACCATGTAAACTGTAGTGCCTGTGCAAATTTAAGATTTCTGTGGTCTCTTTACCACCCAAGCAAAGCAAAATGTCAAAATGCTGGGAACTGAGATAACAGCAAGTGGCCTCCTCAAAATATGTAGTTTCATAGAAAATCCTGGAGTGCAGAAAAATGCAGACATTGTGTTTTCTATGAGAAAGCGTCAAATACCCCTAAGCTCAGACTCTGATTTCCCAATTCCTTTTGAAAGGGCCTCTCTTCACATGCTTGGTGACTTTGCAGGGCATACTCTGAGTTTTTTCCCAGAAGGCTTTGATTAAATGTACTTGATACTCAGAATGGTGCAGCCCACGAACTTGCATCAAATTCTATGGAAAGGATCCAGGAGAAGATGTTATCTCACATTTTTAATGAGAGGAGGGTATTGTACTCCAGGTGAGGGTGCCTTCTGCTGCAAACTAAGGAAGTCCATTGCAATCAAGCTCCACCCTCGAGAGTTTTGTTTCTCGGGTCATCTGATCTAGACATTTTCTTAAGGCTGCCTCATATGTGATACTGGTTTCCACTGGTTTTAAGTAGTAGAGTTGCAGTAAAAATATATTTTTAAATACCCTTAGCACAATAGTGAGTCTACCCTGCCTTTGATCTGAAGGCTAAAGTGAGAGGACCCCAGGGGTCACAGCACCGCCTCCCCAGCAGGGCTGGGAGCTGCTCAGAACTTGCCTGCAGAAGGGAGCCTGGGGAACAAGATTGATGATCATGAACATAGGCCCCATAATTCATGTTGGTAATAGTCTTTAAGACCCATGGCCTGTTTAGACGCCTCCCCCAAGCCACCATTAAGAAGACAGAGGAGGATGAAAAATAACTATGTGCTGAAACAGAATCTGTTGCATTCAAGTTAGCTTTTGCACGTGGCTCTCCTATTGCAAAAGAAATGATCATTCCCAAGGAAAACACCAGTTATAGCCTGCCTCAAATACAACAGCAGGACATTTATTTTGTCTGCCTACTAATCTCATTATGAGGAGAATTTATGTTCTGTCATGAACTGTGGTCTCTGCCATCCAGGCGCCACTAAATTCAAAGGGACATTTTCAGGGAGCCACAACCCAGCAGCCAGGTCAGCAGCCTGCTCTGACTGGTGTCTCATTGCTCCATTTTCCCTCTGATGGCCCATCATGCCATGCACAGTAGGGGGCCACGAGGCAGTTTGGTCTAAAGATAATGACAGCCACATGTATTTCCTGAAGGCTTCACATAGCTCGAAAATGCTGTTTCTTGGTGTTTTTGTTTGTTCATTTTGTTTTGACTTTCAAACCCTGTTTCTCTGTGTAGCTTTGAAGCCTGTCCTGTTACTGCCTGGGTAGACCAGGCTGGCCTCAAACTCACAGAGATCCACCTGCCTCTGCCTCCAGAGTTCTGGGAGTAAGGGCCTGTGCCATCACCACCTGGCATGATCTCACTTTATTGGTAATGAAAACAGAAAATAGACCAATAATGGCCTGTGTTGCTTTTCCATTTAAAACTCTTGGAACATACCTTGTGTGTGCTGGCAACAGGATGTGTGCAGTAGCTGTGAAATAAAGAACAAAAGCACCAAAGAATTGTTGAAATATAAGCCAGCAGTGGAATAAATTAAATAGCCAATGGTGAGATCTAATGGAAATTGAAGAAGGTAAACTGTTTGCCTGAGTTATACAATAAGGACAGTTCTGTATCTGCACAGCCTGCAGGGGATGGATGCGGTTCAATGGTGGTTCTGTCTTGCAGCAAGTAAGATTTATGTTGCCCACTCATGGAATTCAGGAAAAATGAGTGTTGTTTCAGGCAGCTGGGTAGGATGCTCTGGATTGCCCAGGTGTTGGGGTCTGCTACCCATGGTTGTAAGGATCTGAACAAACAGTGGAAGGGACTCAGTAAGCAGTTCTCTTTCCATCCAGTATGACTGCAGTGTGCACCCCAGACTCCAGCAAACAGACAATTAGGACCAAACTGATTATTAGGAATAGCTTCTTGTCTGTCCAATTATAGGGTCCAAAGAAAATGATGGATAATCGGCTGAGCACTAGGTAGTATATTACATCCTAGTACTAAATACCATTTAAAGTCAAGATTTGATTACCTAAGCAAAAAAAAAAAAAAAAGAAGAAGTTTACACTCTTAAAGTCCAACTGTCTGATTTGAGATATCCTTCCTTCCTAGTGAGACGCTGAGATAAAAACAATTAAATCAGTATTTTTACCATACTATCAAATCACATTATTCATCACCTCATGTTATTTGGAAGGCTTTACACTATAGGTTTCCTGTATGTCTACAGCGGGCTGGAAGGATATGATGTGTGGAAAGCTAGTGCTGATTGTGTGATGCTAAGATAACCCGTTTGCAGCAGACATATCCAGGTCAATTACTGTCTACAGCCACTCTAACCGGTGTCCTGAGGTTACTAGGACAGAGTAACATAATGTAAAGCATGAGCACAGAGGCAGATAGGTTCTTACCTTTTCCCTTAGAGATGAGAAGCTCTCAGCTAGTAGATCTTTAAAGGGTGTCTCACATATGCTCCTGTTTAGGTCAAGGCTCAGGGAAGTTGTTAAATGAATATAAAAATACAATTTAAAATTTCTTTCTAAAATTGGGCTAGATGCTCTAAGTGAGAAATGCATATGAAGATTGTGGATGTCAGGGCCTCTGACCATCTACAGGATGTTCTGCTGCCTAAGCTGCCCCTGTCTCCTGCCAGATGGCACCAGGGAGGAAGGCAGAGCCATGCTGTCTGTTTTGGGACAGACCTGCTGGAGAAATTCCACAGCTTCCTTTCCCACTGGGCGAGTGCTCATTCACTGGCACACATCAGATCACAGGCAAGTCTGAAGAGCAGCAGTAACAGGCTGCAGGCCTGGTCGTGCCTTTGCTCAGTTCATGGAAATCACACCCTGTCCGTAAGTTTCCACATTTCAGCAATCAGTAACCCCCATTTTCTTTCTTCCCTTCTCCCTTTGACTATTCACTATAGCAAGAGAGGACAGGAGATAAGGCAAACTAGAAGGAGATAAAATGAAAATTGGACTTCCTTGTTATTCGTTAGTTGGTTCAGTTGTTTTGTTTCCTAATATACTTGGTGGAAAAGGTCAGAACAATTGCAGTTCAGTGGGAATCCCTTGGTCTCTCTGGCCTCAGTATTTATAAAATAAAAAGACTAGGCTTACTGACCTCCATTTTTAACAGTTGATGACAAATGCTGGAGCTGGCCACAAATTCTGATGATCCCAATACAATTTTGTTTTGTTAGCAAGGTTCACTAGCTGTACTTTGGCTGATTTTAGAGCCTACTCTAAGAAGTCATTCCCTATCCTCTCAATCTCATGCTATAATTGGGTATTCCAAACTTGGGATTTTAATGCAAATAAAATTGTCTGGGGTAAAAGGCAATTTCACGATTATGTGACATCGCCATGGAGTTAATAAATTGCTCTCGATTCAAGTGTAATCGGGAAGACTTGATTTCTCCTTAATTGATGGTTCCTGGGAACAAAGCCTGAGGAGAGCCAGCTGCCTACACTTTCCTCATTAACTGAAACTTCCCTCAGAGAGGGAGGATTTGGAAATAAAACTCATGTCCGAAGATTACTGGGCATTTATTGAATAAAGCTAACTAGTAAATCCCAGCTATGCCCAACCATCAGTAGTCACTGTTAGCTAACTCTTAGGACTTTTCTCTTAAAGAAACCAAAGGCTTGTACTCCAGAACATTAACATAGAAGAAAAGACATGGGTCTGAAATAGAGCCTTCATGAGATCCCCTGCGAGGTCTTCCCATAGAGGAGATTTTGTCACTACACAGTCTAAATGTTTGAAGATTAGCGTAACACCTAGGATGTCTAGTGTATCACTTGACAAGGATGCCACTACTACATAATCACACATCCATCCATCCATTCATTCATTCATTCATTCATTCATCAAATATCTCTTGAGCACCTCCTAGGAACCAGGCCAGAGTTTATGACCATAAGAATATGGTACAGTGTCTGCCTCAAGAAATCTCACACATCACTAATAAATTTGTAAATCAATTATTAACCTAAAAAATAAGATGAGAACTTTGTAGAGACCCAGGGGAGAGGAGACAGAAAAAGATGGAGAGACTGGTAGAATTTTGCTAGTGAGTTCAGATGTTTTCTGTCAATTAGTGGTTTTGATCTATTCATCACTTCTGTTAGAAGAGGTAGCAGATTAGTTGACAATCATGAGATTGGTTTCAATGCCAACAATAGCACACTATAATACCTCCTAGCCTTTTACCTTCTGGGGGTGAGAACTGAGGCCTGGAGATGTTTTTGGACTGCCATCTAAACCCCATCTAGAAGCTCTGGTTCCAATAAAGAGACAAATGGGGATGGGGGTGTACAAGGCTATAGATCCATTCTTGACACGATTT